TGGTTGGTGGTTTGGAACCATGGAATTTTATGACTTTCCATTCATTTGGGAATGTCATCCCAACTGACGGACGCCATCATTTTTCAGAGGGGTAGGGTAGGTATACCACCAACCAGATAGTGAATGATAGTAATTCTAATGTCGGGATACCTATTAGCAATATATAAAATAACATCTTTCGATAATATAGTGATTTGAATATATAGTCCATAAATGGTGACATATCCATTATATGATGGCACATTATATAATATATATATGTTTAATAGGTGATTTGAATGAACTAATGGGATAGGTGTTTTAATAAATATATAGATAGATACGGTGAATTGTTTTGATGTACATACATAGACACACACACACATATATATACACAAATTTACCATATATATATATATTATATGTATATACGCATATAGCAGCGATGGAACTTGAGGCTGTTTTTTTTCGCAAGCTCATGAAAAGTGCGAATTTAGCGCCGGTGGATGGTCCAACATGCTGAAGAGTGGTATTTTCCAACTGCTGCTGCGATTGTGCATCTTCTCTCCGCCATCCAGAAACCGTTTCTTGCAGGCCCAGCTTCCAGCGGAGAAAAGGCGTGGGGGCAGAGGATGTGGATTCCTTAATGACCATGGCATATATGGGCTCTGACACGCTTTGAACAGATTATACACACATATATATATATATGTATGTGTATACATATGTATATACTTATATTATCACACATGCACACAGAGATATACATATATATATATTATATGAGTTACTGTCAAAATCGTTGAAGACCACTCTAGTATTGCAGAAACACTTTTGTCAGAGATGTGCACGAAACACTGTGAAGCGATAGTGCCCCCTCCAAAAGCGATAATGGCACAAAATACTGGAAAACGATATGGCCACCCAACAAGCGATAACCGAAAATAGATGAAAATAGTAACTACTGAGATGTAACGGATTTTGACGGGAACTCAATATATTTAGAATATATATATATATATATGTGTGTGTGTCAGCTTGTATCAGTTCATGTCAGCTCAAGATATTGTAGCGAGTTGACTTCGCGCCATGTTTTCGCCCCTTCAGGGGATAAACTTTGTCAAGCATCAGCTCATTGGACCGGACCAATGTTCCCCATGTGACCACTCATCCCCATGGTCTGATCTTTACCTTCATATGTTTTCAAGAAATGGGAAACAATAAGAAACCCTACGTCATCTGAGGAGAAAAATGGATCATATCTCTCCATCTTCTTTCGTCAATTTGATTACCCTCTGGTAATTTAACATAGCTATGCTATTGAAAATGGCCATGTATAGTGAGTTTTCCCGTAGGAGATGGTGATTTTCCATAGTTATGTTAGTTTACCAGAGGGTACACGCCCCATGGGGGTTCCAGTCTCTGCGATGCTCGAGTGGCCAGGCGCAATCTACGACGCGTGCCGCCACCGCCCGCTGATGAGCAGGTGGCTGAGGCCGGACAGGAGAGGACAGGATGGAATGAATAGATGAGATAGGATGAATAGAATAGGCCACATATGACATAATAATATACGAGAATATAGTAGAGTAGGATATGTATATATATATATATATTTGGCACCAGCACACATGCCCGTACAGCAGATATATTTAAGTTTTTTTCCTCTGGGGACCTGTTCTGCCTGTGTCAGGGCGAGAACCCTCCAGGGCCACCCACTCCGTGAGTGTCGAACCTCAGCGGCGCAAAAAGTCGCAGGGCAGCGTTGGGGAACTACCACAGTTTCATGGTAAGTTCGTTCCTTTTCGCAGTGGTAACCGGTCATTTGTTCCATAAAACATCCATAAATATGTATGACAATGCATGATGATATATCGTACACAAGCATGATGGCATGAGCAGGTACAACTACCATAAGTGTCACGATTGGTTTAAGGGAAAATCTACGGGATCTCTGGGACACCCATTCGCAAAACCCATGGGTTTCTGATCAGCCGCACCTTGGGGGATCATATTTACGAAGCATCCGATGATGGCAATGCGGCAGTTAAAAAGGTAACTCATTGAGCATTGGGCATGGTGACTTTTTTTTTGGATTTTTCACATTGATTTTAGACACATTGTCTTAGAAGGCGCCTTGGGTTTCAGCGGTTTGGATGCCTGTTGGCAAGGTTTCGCAGGCATGTTACTTTGCGCCAGGTCTTCTTCTCTGGAGAAAGAGGTAGCATCGCTGCGGAAGCAAATAGAGGACACTCTGAGAAGTCGGAACCGTCGAGAGTGGCCAAGGTAGGCCAGTCGAAAGCAGCCTGGACTGCTCCTGAAATTGTGCCACTGTGCCAGGTGAAACTCCCAGCACCCAAGTTTCCGTTCCGCTCATACAGCCAAATCTCAGAAACCATTGTTGTAGTGACTGATTTGTTCATTTTGGGTCCCATGTGGAAGGTTGTTATTCTTTCAGGGATAGATTTGTGCACCGCAGCTTTTATCCTTGACAGGAGATGGTGTCGGAGCAAGCTATGAGCGAAGAACTGTGACCTTAGCAAGTCTTGTCCATCCAGTTGGTAAGGAATCATCCTGAAACATCCTGAAATTGGTTTATCTGCAGGCATGCCAATTCTATCCACTTCCTATAATGTGACCGGGCGGGTATCCTTTGAGCAAGAAATATGAGAACGTGGATTTCACATGCCTATTTTGATCCCATTTTCACCCTGTATCCCATTCACATATTTTTAGGTTTCACCCTCCACATGCTTTGTCGATCTTCAAACGAAGCAGAGACACGCCCAGATTTATGAAACTATGATGGACCGGCAACGGTGACATCGTGACCCTCTCCAAGATTCGAATCGGTTGATGAGCTCATGTCCCAGGGGGAGACATCCCACTGGCTTTTGGGGCACCTGGCAGGTTGGGCACGGACACGGTTGAAGAGTTGAAGGCCGCGGCGCAGAGCGGGTGATCGTGTGGGATTCAACATTAAAAACAATGACTTGACATGACTTGCCGAATAAATGGCTAACATGTTGTGACACACATCCCGGTGGCTTCAAAAAATGGGGCTTACCACGGCTTACCTTTCTTGTTTTGATCTTCCTATGGCACGCGTCTTGAAGACGGCGACGGACTCTGAGAGACACTGCAAACGTGGCTTCGGTGCGGGTGAAATGAAACCCAAAGAAGATCGTTACAATTACAGTACTTATTATTCACCACTGTATGTGAGTGCAACCAAAGAGAATAGAATCCAAAAACTACATGAAACTACTATAAACTACTAGGTTTTGGAAATGGCTGCTTTCCTTTGAAGCATCAAAGTCGGCACACCAAGGAGGGGCTTCCACAGGTTAAGGAAGGTTGGAAAATGATGTGGTGATTCAATGAGGGCATTTGCATCATGACATCATAGGAGGTTGGCCCTTGCTCTTCCGCAGCCAGGCTGACATAGTGCAGGGCTCAGAGGGTAGGGTGTGGGATCTCACGGGATCTCATGTGGCGGTCCTGACACATGGCTGACACATGCTGTGATAGGTGCTGACCAAAGGCAAATGGGCAAACATAGATTGTCATGTTCGTTGGGAAAACATGGGAAAACCTAATCTTTACCCTCCATAAAGGATGGTTGGCGGCTTGATTGTCGCTACTTTTTCAGTGCCCAAAAATGGGCCACAACATGCCCAAAGGGACCCATATTTTTAGTTTGAGACTTGTTTCATGTTGTTTCAATAGTCCCAATCAGTTCTGGGTAAGGCCACATAAACCCAGCATTTTGCTCGGCTTCCCCCCATGGTTTGCGGCTAAAAAGGTGAAGCTGACGGAGGAGCAGGGCCGTTTGGAAGCTGAGCCGGGGCCTCGTGGCGAAGCGTCATGGGCAAAGCTCAGATGAGTTTAGACATGTTACCGATGTATTTGGTAGCTGATGTTGGATTCTTCACACACACCCAATATATATATAATATAATATAATATAATATCATATAATATAATATAATGCAATATAATGTAATATAATATAATATAAAATGAAATAATATAATATAATATCATACAATATAATATAATATAATGTAATATAATATAATATAAAATAAAATAATATAATATAATATCATACAATATAATATATTATAATACAATGTAATACAATATAATACAATATAAGATAAAAACATATATATAATATAATATAATATAATACAATATAATACAATGTAATATAATATAAAATAATATAATTTAATATAGTACATAATATACAATTATATGTTCTATAATATATGAAATATAATCTATGATATATAATATATAATGTATAATATATAATATATAATATAAAATATATAATATATACTATATAGAATACATAATATACAACATATAATATATGATATTTAATATATAATATACAATATATAATATATAATATATAATATATAATATATAATATATAATACATTATATATAATATATAATATATATAATATATATAATATATATAATATATATAATATATATAATAGATATATAATATATATAATATATAAATATATATAATATATATAATATATATAGTATATATAAAATATAATATATAATATCATAGATTATATAGAATTTAATATAACATAATATAATATAACATTATATTATAATTGATTATATGCAACCATATATATATATATATATGAATATGAATATGTCTTATGTGTAACTGTATATGTATATGTAAACATGTACACACATATGCAGCTTTTATATCTTATATGCATATACACATTGTACAACATGGCGGCCAGGTGCGAGCGCCGCAACGCGCAGAAAGAAGAGTTGGTGCTCCAGTTGGAGGACGTCGACCGCCAAACGAACGAAATGAACTGGGGGAAAGCGTAGGAAACGTATCGAGTATAGTAACAATTAGTACTAATAGTAATTAAAAATCTATTGTCTATAGTTACTAGTATAGTAATAATCATTAATCATCTATTATAGTAATAGTAATTAAAAAATAGTGATAGGAAAAGTAATAGAGTATTATAGTAATAGAGTATTATAGTAATATAGTAAAAATAGTAGTAACAAATAGTAGTAACAAATAGTAGTAACAAATTGTAGTAACAAATAGTAGTAACAAATAGTAGTAACAAATAGTAGCAACAATAGCAGAAATACTATTATTGCTATTGTCATCAATACTTTTATTGCTAATGTAGTAGTGTAGTAGATGCAATGATTAGTAATACAGCAATTTAACCATCAGTAGTAGATGTTTAACCAACAGATTCTGGGGAATTATTGGGGATATTGTCAACCAAAATGAATAGGTATATACTCTGAAAACTGTCGCATATATAATTATCGATTGGTTTAGTGATAAGACAAAATCGGAAATTTTCGTATAACCATAGTCAAACCATCCCCAATGAGGGGTTATGATAGGCAAAACCCAAACATATTTGGGATTGGAAAAAATCACCAACTAACAAATTCTTTTAGTATCAGGGTTAGTTTGTTATTGTGGATCCTGCATAAGATTCGGAAGGGCACATAATGTTCAGCATCACTGCAGGCTGCTGCAATTGCTATTTCCCGCAAGCAACAACCAAATTTCATTCTGTACAAGCATAGCACCACCCCAAGAGAAGATAGACACACTATGAAACAATCATTTGCCATTGATTTTAGCAGCATTTTTATAGGATGTTGATGGACTTTCATCATTTCTATCTATATTTGGTGGTTGGCAGACAGCCCAAAAGAAAAGACCTGCCACTGCCTGAGGAGTCCTTGAGGGCAGAAACTCGGAAGACAGAAGAGTGCCGTGCTCGGTTGTTTTTCCCGTGTGGTTTCCAATCTAGAGAAAGTAGTGTAAGAACTGGGATTTATTGGTGCTTCTAGTACTTATATGGTAGTTATATATATTATATATATATTATATATATATATTATATATATTATATATATATTATATATATAATATATATATATATTATATATATTATATATATAATATATATATATATTATATATATAATATATATATATATATTATATATATATTATATATATATTATATATATATGGTATTTATATGGTCCAATGTCCAGTTTTGGTGGGATCATATGTCTTTCGTGTTGCCATAAAAATGGGGATTCAAACGGGGTTTAGGGTAGCCAGTTGAACTATAGGAGGTGGGTGCGAAAAAAAGGGGTACCTGGCGATTCTTGGAAATGGTGCCATATTTTCAAACAAACCCATATGGGGATGGGTCAAAACCCTGGTACCTAGTGAACCCCAAAATAGCTGGTAAATGGATGTTCATCCCACTAAAAATGTATCTATAGGTATTGACCCATACCCATATGTTGGAGATATGTAATACATTGCAATACGTTCAAAAACTTACTGGTGCTTAGTAGGGAATGAGGGAATGGGATGATTGTCAGAGAATTCAGGGGATACCTGGTAATTTAACACATAGCTATGGCAGCTATGGAATGGAACCATGGCCTATTCAAATTGAGTTCGATGATTTACCCTACTGTTTCCATGGTGATATTTGATGATTAGGTTAAATTACTAGAGGGTATGCCCTCTTGAGTTTGTGGGTCACCAAGACGGAGGTGCAGCAGGCCGCTAGCGCCAGGTTGAAGGAAATGCAGCAGAAGCTACGGGGAGCTGAGGCTTAGACTCTGAAAACGGAGCACTCTTGTTTTTTCCAAAACAGAACAAAGAAGAACACCATAATTTTCCAGGATAGCAGAATTTTCCAAGGTTTAAGATGTTTAAGCAAGCGGGGGGAAAACCGCGCCAGTAGACGTGCACGGTTTTGAAAACACTCGTTTTTGAAGGGGTCCGGGAGGGGGGGGTAATAACGTTCATGTTAACTTGCGTCACGTGCACATGCTACGTCACGTCACTGGGTTGGGCCTCCAAAAATGGAGGCAAGCTGTCAGTGATCAAAAGAATTGCCAAAGCCGTTGTGCACTCACTGTGGTCGGCGTGGACATAATGCATCATAATGCTTCCTCGTGTGAAAGTCTAGGACAGAAGCTGTTGCCATTCTTGCGGAAAAAAACATTCTGCGGCTCAGTTACAAGACTTTTGGAGGATGAACTCCAAAACCAAAAGCCTTTGGAGGTCACTGGTCGCTCCTTGAAGAACCGCATGGCGATGTGAGAGGGAAAAAAGCACCGCGCACCTTTTCAAGAGAACTTCCCTGTAAATTACAGGTCATCATCAAAAAAGCATTTCAAACGCCCGGGGAATTTTAAGCCTATTTTGGAGAATGAACCAGTAGTTTCGCTATGCGAAAGCGATTTTTTTCAAAACGCTCACAACCGCTGGCGCGGTTTTCCACCCGACGGGATGTTTAAGTTATTTTCAGTTTAAGGTATCTTTTGGTTTACAGCACCAAAACGTCGATCATTTCACAAGCACTGCCGCCAGGAAGCCAAAGAGGAAGTCGATGGGAAGTCGGGATCGCAGGAATCATGTTGCAATGATACCATGGTCCCGGAACTTATTTATACTTGTTTTAGTTTTGAATTTTATTTTTCGATCTTTTTGGGGGTTACTATAGATTACTATTCAAAAAAAAAACGCCATAAATTGCCAACTACCATCATTTTTCTTCTTTTTCCTTCTTTGCCCAGTCAGTTTCTTTCCGCTACAGGGCGGCCAGTTTGCGTCAACAGCTTCAATGCTCGCAGGCGGCGGGGAACGCCAGGTGGGTCATGGGAATTTCGCCCAATGAGACAAACCCTTTGGTCATAAGTATGACCTTCATGTGATGTTGAACAGGGCTTGGAGCCTACAGAGGCATCTTCTCTGGTGTTTGGTGCCACAAAAAACACCCCGGTTTGCACAAAATCTCCGACAGTTTTAACATGTTTTAAAGATACTGAGAGTGAGAGGGGACGGTTTTGACACATGGCAAGATTGGCAAGCTGCAAGATCTGCAAGTTGCCGTGCCGCCCAAAAAGGTCACTTCCGAAAAGTATGGATTTTGGATGCCACACACACACACACGGTATATAATTGTATGTAATTTTTATATACGTGTATATATGTATATAATTGTGTATGTATATGTATATATATATATATCATGATTTCAGTCCGAAAATATAGGAAACTCATCTACACACATCGCACACTATCAACGGGTATTAAATGTTGGATTTCCGTTGGTAGGTTAGGTTACCCACAACCGAGGGTGAGGCCCTTTGCCGTGACCTGTGCGGCTTGAGGCGGAGGGAGACATGCTGAGCAATGAGTGGCTTGGAGAAAGGACGGATGCCCTTTGGGAGAAAAACCTGCTGAAAATGGGAATTTTGAATTGGAAAAACATGCAAATCTGATATGTTAAGATATATATTAAGCAGTTGGGTATATACGTGGAATTTTGTATATTTGTAAATGCATTGCATTCTGAGGGATTTTTCATGGAGTCCCAAGCGCGCCAGCATTGATGGGCGGAGGATACCCAGTGGCAATGTTTTGGTAGGTGCTGATTGGCATGGTTTGTGTGGGAAAGACAGCGGGTGGATGCCGGTTGGCATGGAGAAAATGCGTCAGTCATATTTTGCGAGAGACACTGGCTGCTTTCCTTCTGATCTTCGGCCTTGGCTTGCGATCATGAATCAGAACCGCTGAGTCTGCCCTGCAGTTTCTAAGGCTGCAAAAGCTGGGACAACAGCTTCAAGATGCGCAGGTCATTTGGCCACAAACAATGGCTGTTGCGGAAGTGAACTCCACAAACCTGGAAGCCGGGGAAAAGTCACAGTTTCTTGGAGGGCACTGGGGGCACATCATCTGCATCCAAGATTTGACCTGTGAAAAGACACTCGTTCCAGGCCAATGCGGTGAGTCTGCAGGACGAGTGGGGGGCCCGGAGTTGTGTCACGCTGTCGGTTGTGTGTACCATTGTGTACCGCAGCCTTTCGGCTCAGGCCTCAGGGCCTAGTAACAAGGCTTGAGAGGTGTTTGGATTTCTTCCATGTTCCTGATGTTTTGTGTTGAAGTTCCACATTTCCAGATGTTTGGGTTAAAGTCGGAGTCCCTGGGCCTCATCTAGAATCATCTAGAGGATCAGCTCTGGGAAACTGGAAAAAAGAACAACAATTCTGGGGGAAATCTGGATTTTGTCAAAGCTTTGCTGTTTTTGTTTTTAACGGTTTTCTGGCGGGGAAGGACTCATTTTGTAGTATCTGGAGGGCAGGCCTTATCTTCTATTTTCTGGAGGAGGAATGCCTTAATTTGTATTTTTTCAAAGGATCAGAGAATATACCGTTGCAGTTTCGATGTTTCGGAAGTTGCCAGTCGTTGATTTTTTTCAGCCTCATCACGATCTGCAAAGAATGATCCAAAGATTTCTCAAAAGTATCGCAAAACATCAGATGATATCTCCCGCACATGAGTCGGACACATAAAAACTTGTATCCGGCCAACATGTTCCAAAAGGGTGGTCTCACCACTGGCGATTTTTGGATCTGTGAGTTTGGACCCTATGGCTGGAGGCGACTTGGCAGTACAGTACTTGGAAGGAACTGTGGCCATGACCAGTGCCCAAGAACCCCTCATTGCGTGGAGAACTTCGATGTTTCCTTGCGTGGTTGACTGCAACTATAGGTTGGTACCCCGAAAGTGATCGAATATATCATCAGCTTACTATCGAACATAGTACCCTTCGCAAATTCAGAAGCATCTACAATAAGTCAACATTGAAGTCACCAGCAGGTTTACTATGGTTTACTGTATTAATCATTATTGATCCAATTTTTACATTCCCAGTTCCCCGCACCTGACGATGATCGAACCCGCGACTGGAGCAATTTTGGCTGCGCAACCCTCCTGGTAGGTCTTGCCATGTTCCTGCTTGGCAGAGGACCCAACATCATTTCAAGGGGTTCTTGTATGATCCTATGATTATCCTATGATTATGTTGCACCCCTTTCAAAACAGGTCAGATCAATCAATTATTTCATGAATTCCAATGCTCGTCGCAGGATTCGCTACCCTATGTCTTGAGGTATATATTATATATAATCATGTATAATCCATATATTGAGACCATGTTTGGCATTAAGCACATTTAAGCACCACTCAGCCAGTGTGCCTTCGCACCCGCCGTTGCGACATGCCAAACGCCGAGCTGTCGGATCGGCAGTGCGACCATTGTGGAGTGCTTGGGGCGCTGTTTCTCAACGGCAGCAACTGGAGGGTCAAAACCGGAGTACCAACGTTACCAACGGCCCCGGAAATTTGAGCATTTTGATATATTTTGACCCCCCAAATGATGCTGTTATGTTCGAGCACAGCGAGAAATGGATCTGTTTTTTACGCTGCGTAAACATTGCGCTTCAAACTTCAAATTGCCAAAATGGGGTTTTAAGTCACAGAAATGGGTGCAGTGTCTGGAGGATTCCAGAAGCGATAATTCTGGGTAATTTAAACTGATTGCCAGTTCACCACTGTATGACTGGTATGACCCAACTTTGCAAAGAAAAACTCGAAGGGCACCGTTGTTTCCAACCAGTTTCTGATATGGTCACGAATTTTTTGAATGCTTGAGTGTTGGGTCCCGCAACACTGGCTTGAGCCATAAGGTTGCAATGTGGCAGCTGCAAGCAGGCCCATAGAAGAAACATTATGGGAAGGGAAAGGAGAAAATAAAAGGAGGAACCCTGTCCCCAAGGTACCAATGAAGTCCGTGTTTCCGGAGTTTTGTGGCTGACAAATTATATGTGGGCAAATCGGGCTTGGTGGGATTGACGCATGCATATCAGTTGCTCGCACATCCCATGGTGAACTTATGAACAAGATGATTTGCGACCCCAAGAAGAATTCCAAGAATCAAGTCCCAACCCTGGCTTAAAAAGAAACAATCCAACAACCACCAAGAAACCATGTCCCTGTGTGCCCTGTTGCCACGCAAACTTAGCCTTTAGAGGTGGCCTACTGCAATTTCAAGTGCCAGAGGGTTGCTTGGAAGGACCATGCAGCCTTGGACCTGAGAGACTGGCACTTTGTCACAATGACAAGATTGATGTTGTCACTGATGTTATCAGCACTAAAAACTGCTCCAAAATCTTTCAGAGACTGATCCCATGATACCCTCTGGTAAACTAACAAATAGCTATTGAACATGGCCCAGTCGAAATAGTGAGTTTTCCATAGTTTTCCCATGAAAAATGGTGATTTTCCATCGTTTTTTGTATGTTTAGAGGGTAATTTGAAGCGCAGGAGCACAAACGTCGCTGCGGCCTACCAGCTCCCCCAGCGCCGGCACCGGTGCCCAGCTGGGCGGAGCACCAGGCCGCCGGAGCGCGCGGGCAGCTGCCGCGGCCGAAGATGGGAATCCAAGGTGCCCAACCAGCCAAGATCGAGGCGATGACAAACCGAAAGCCATGGGAAAGCTGGGAAAATCATGGGAGGCGACCATGACTTTTTGATAAAAAATGATATTGAAAAAAGGAGGATGATGCCATGAATAGAGTGACTTTTTGATACTTTTTGAGGATTCATGATATTGAAAAAGGAGGATGATGCCATTTAGAGACAAAAAGTGATTTTGTTTTTTGGTTGGATGATGCCATTCATAGAGTCCCATTGAACATGACTGAACTGGTTCATGGGGAAAGCGTGGGTAGTACAACTCTTTTGCCATAAATGAGGATAGATGTTTTTTTCATGTTTTTCATGTGTTTTTCCAGCTGAAAGAAAAAATGCGGGGTGCCTGAGACTGGCGGTGGAAATGGGACTGGGATATCACTACATACTTGTTTTATCTTGTTTTGGAATGATAGGTGGGAAAAGACTTTAACATTGAGGAGTTGAGAAAGGCAGAACCGGAAAAGTCTGAATTTTCTGATCATGTTTGACACAAAGTGTTGGAGTCTCGACCTGGGTTGTTGTTCTTTTACATTTTTGACATTTTTTTTGAAATTGTCTGAGATGATCAATCCCTGAAACCTCAGCCCATCAGCCACTGGATCTTGGGTGTGGAACTGCCAGTGCCTCTGGGGGGCTGATGGCCCTGTGAGGATTTCTTTGATCGAGATGATTTGGACTGCGGTTTGGCCCCTCTTCGGGACAAAAAGACCGAGACCACCAGCAGTCGGCGCCCGTCAGGGCGCGAAGATCGGTGGCGCGGTTGGCCTTAGAACATGTAAATTGCTTGCCTTTTCACGAGCATATCACAAATTTATGGCACACACACACACATATATATATGTATATATATGCCCTCCGGTAAACATACAAAAAACTATGGAAAATCACAATTTTTAATGGGAAAACTCACTATTTCTATCGCCATTTTCAATAGCTATGTTAGTTTACCAGAGGGTATATATATATATACATAATTATATATATACATATATGGCATGGGATTGATTGATATGGATCTGGATTCGTGTCAAGCTATTTCCCTTACAATGCTGGAAGAGCAAGGGAACTAGCATTGGAAAGGGAAATCGCTCCTGTTTCCACCTCAAAGCCATTTCCATGATGGATGATACTTTTCCTGTTACTGCACCCTCCAAATTGATTCCACTAGTGGGATCCTCCGAGTGTTTTTGATGTAGAAATCATTTTGGTGTCAAACATCTCATTCTGGTGAAAAAGGCGATGCCAATGCTTTTAGAGGAGCCACCAGGAAATCGCAAAACAACTTTTCCCAATCTTTCCAACTTTCCTGGGGAAACTCTGGGCGGGAGGGACAAATGCAAGACTATGTCTATTTGTATATATATATATGAGATTATTATTATACAATATTAAAAATATCTAGTGCAGACCAATGCTAACAGCCAAGAATTTTAATTATTCTTGCAGGCCATCTGGCATCATTTGGCCAAACAAAAATCTCCTTAAGATGTTTTTTTTTCCAGATCTTATATCTAAGTTTCTCCATTTTTTCATCCAAAAGACATCTCATAGAACTGGATGATGGGAAAATTTACAGGAAACCACTATATTTGACGGTAAAAACCATGGTTTCCTGTAGATTTTCCCTTAAACCAATCCATTGAACCTCAGGTTGAACTACAGCAAGTGGGACAACCTGGCAGACAGCGACGAGGACTCCAAGGACTCCAAGCTCCGCAGGGCGCCGAAGCCTGGGACAACCCCGGCGCAGTCCGCGGCTTCGGCGAAGCCGCCCTTGTTCGGGCAAGCCATGGGGATGGCGCCTGCGCGTCAGGCTGGGATGATAGACCGAAGATGGACCAGTTTGAAAACAATTTGGAAAAAAATAGCAAAAAAAATTGAAGTCTGATTAAATCTGATTAAATCCGATTAAATCTGACTAAATCACTAGTTTTGGTATGTTTTTCTTTTTTTAAACGTATCGGTGGCTTTTCCGATGTTCACCTTTCTGGCCCCGCCAGGCCACCAAACCCGACACCCGAACGGCGGCCGAGAAGCGCGAGGAAGCGGAGAAATTGCTGCATCAGGTGGCCGGTACCCCGGCGTTTTCACAGGATGGTGTCTCCCAGTCGATAGCGTTCAGTTGCCTAAGTGGCTGAATTCTATGGTTTATGGTACCCTCTGGTAAACATACAAAAAAGCTATTGAAGCCATGGCCCAGTCGAAATAGTGAGTTTTCCCATGAAAAATGAATAAAATGATGATTTTCCATAGTTTTCTGTATGTTTACCAGAGGGTAGATAGAACTGATATAGCTATAGTTAATGGATGTCTCCATTTTCACCGTGACATGATATGGCCATGATGAAAATCACCATGGAGTCACCATGTTTCAATGTTTCCAGCGCCATAAACCACTCATATGGATTGATGGTTTATATGGATAATGCATGATAATATATGGTTTATTATTGCTTTACCAACATTATCATACATTATCCATATTCCCTATTGAATCGAGCGCCAATTGATAAATTTAATGGAGCCACAAGTGGCTACGAATTGAGTTTCCCAACCAATTGATAGTTATGAAGCGGGAATTGACTAGATGATGGTTTTTGAAGTTGCTGAAATGCACATCCAACACATTTTTTTCCCAAAAGCATCTTCGATGCTTGGGTTCTCGTTTAGTTGTTTAACCGCGTGGGGGAGCGACCTGGCTCGAACGGTGGTGTGCGGACGGCGTGGGTGCAAGGGAAAGGAAAGGAAAGGAAAGGAAAGGAAGGGAAAGGAAAGGAAAGGAAGGGAAAGGAAGGGAAAGGAAGGGAAAGGAAGGGAAAGGAAGGGAAAGGAAGGGACAGGAAGGGAAAGGAAGGGACAGGAAGGGAAAGGAAGGGAAAGGAAGGGAAACGAAGGGAAACGAAAAAGGAAGGGAAAGGAAGGAAAAAGGAAGGAAGGGAAAGGAAGGGAAAGGAAGGGAAAGGAAGGGAAAGGAAGGGAAAGGAAGGGAAAGGAAGGGAAAGGAAGGGAAAGGAAGGGAAAGGAAGGGAAAGGATGGGAAAGGAAGGGACAGGAAGGGAAAGGAAGGGACAGGAAGGGAAAGGAAGGGAAAGGATGGGAAAGGAAGGAAAAGGGAAGGGAAAGGAAGGGAAAGGAAGGGAAAGGAAGGGAAAGGAAGGGAAAGGATGGGAAAGGAACGGAAAAGGATGGGAAAGGAAGGGAAAGGAAGGGAAAGGATGGGAAAGGAACGGAAAAGGATGGGAAAGGAAGGGAAAGGAATGGAGCGGACGGCTGCCGGCAAATGGGTGCGGAGAACTGCGTGGACGGCTGCGGACGGCGTGGATGCAACGGAGTGGCTGGAAATGGGTGGGGAGAAGAAGCCGCTGGTGATGAGCGACCTTGGCTGCGCGGACGGCTGCGGACGGCAAATGGGTGCGGAGAACTGCGCGGACGGCTGCGGACGGCGTGGGTGCAACGGAGTGGCTGGAAATGGGTGGGGAGGAGAAGCCGCTGGTGATGAGCGACCTTGGCTGCGCGGACGGCTGCGGACGGCAAATGGGTGTGGAGAACTGCGTGGACGGCTGCGGACGGCGTGGATGCAACGGAGTGGCTGGAAATGGGTGGGGAGAAGAAGCCGCTGGTGATGAGCGACCTTGGCTGCGCGGACGGCTGCGGACGGCAAATGGGTGCGGCGAACTGCGCGGACGGCTGCGGACGGCGTGGGTGCAAGGGGGTGGCTGGAAATGGGTGGGGAGAAGAAGCCGCTGGTGATGAGCGACCTTGGCTGCGCGGACGGCTGCGGACGGCAAATGGGTGCGGAGAACTGCGCGGACGGCTGCGGACGGCGTGGGTGCAAGGGGGTGGCTGGAAATGGGTGGGGGAGAAGCCGCTGGTGATGAGCGACCGTGGCTGCGCGGACGGCTGCGGACGGCAAATGGGTGCGGAGAACTGCGCGGATGGCTGCGGACGGCGCGGGTGCAACGGAGTGGCTGGAAATGGATGGGGAGAAGAAGCCGCTGGTGATGAGCGAGCGTGGCTGCGCGGACGGCTGCGGACGGCAAATGGGTTCGGAGAATTGCGTGGACGGCTGCGGACGGCGTGGGTGCAACGGAGTGGCTGGAAATGGGTGGGGAGAAGAAGCCGCTGGTGATGATGAGCGGACCTTGGCCTGCGCGGACCGGCTGCGGAACGGGCAAATGGGTGAGGAACTGCGCGGCACGGCCTGCGGACGGCGTGGGTGCAGTGGTTGACAAGGGGGTGGCTGGAAAGGAAATGGGTGGGGAGAAGAAGCCGCTGGTGATGAGCGACCTTGGCGGCGCGGACGGCTGCGGACGGCAAATGGGTGCGGAGAACTGCGCGGACGGCTGCGGACGGCGTGGGTGCAAGGGGGTGGCTGGAAATGGGTGGAGAGAAGAAGCCGCTGGTGATGATCGACCTTGGCTGCGCGGACGGCTGCGGACGGCAAATGGGTGCGGAGAACTGCGTGGACGGCTGCGGACGGCGTGGGTGCAACGGAGTGGCTGGAAATGGGTGGGGGGAAGAAGCCGCTGGTGATGAGCGACCTTGGCTGCGCGGACGGCTGCGGACGGCAAATGGGGTTGAGGAGAACTGCGCGGACGGCTGCGGACGGCGTGGGTGCAAAGGGGTGGCTGGAAATGGGTGGGGAGAAGAAGCCGCTGGTGATGAGCGACCGTGGCTGCGCGGACGGCTGCGGACGGCAAATGGGTGCGGAGAACTGCGTGGACGGCTGCGGACGGCGTGGGTGCAACGGAGTGGCTGGAAATGGGTGGGGAGAAGAAGCCGCTGGTGATGAGCGCCCTTGGCTGCGCGGACGGCTGCGGACGGCAAATGGGTGCGGAGAACTGCGCGGACGGCTGCGGACGGCGTGGGTGCAAGGGGGTGGCTAGAAATGGGTGGAGAGAAGAAGCCGCTGGTGATGAGCGACCTTGGCTGCGCGGACGGCTGCGGACGGCAAATGGGTGCGGAGAACTGCGTGGACGGCTGCGGACGGCGAGGGTGCAACGGAGTGGCTGGAAATGGGTGGGGAGAAGAAGCCGCTGGTGATGAGCGACCTTGGCTGCGCGGACGGCTGCAGACAGCAAATGAGGTCGGGGACAGCAAATGGGTGCGGAGAACTGCGTGGACGGCTGCGGACGGCGTGGGTGCAACGGAGTGGCTGGAAATGGGTGGGGAGAAGAAGCCGCTGGTGATGAGCGACCTTGGCTTCGCGGACGGCTGCGGACGGCAAATGGGTGCGGAGAACTGCGCGGAGGGGAGAAGAAGTCGCTGGTGATGAGCGACCGTGGCTGCGCGGACGGCTGCGGACGGCAAATGGGTGCGGAGAACTGCGCGGATGGCTGCGGACGGCATGGGTGCAACGGAGTGGCTGGAAATGGGTGGGGAGAAGGGAAAGGAAGGGAAAGGATGGGAAAGGAAGGGACAGGAAGGGAAAGGAAGGGAAAGGATGGGAAAGGAAGGAAAAGGGAAGGGAAAGGAAGGGAAAGGAAGGGAAAGGAAGGGAAAGGAAGGGAAAGCAAGGGAAAGCAAGGGAAAGGATGGGAAAGGAAGGGAAAGGAAGGGAAAGGATGGGAAAGGAACGAAAAAGGATGGGAAAGGAAGGGAAAGGAATGGAGCGGACGGCTGCAGACGGCCTGGGTGCAAGGGAGTGGCTGGAAATGGGTGGGGAGAAGAAGCCGCTGGTGATGAGCGAGCTTGGCTGCGCGGACGGCTGCGGACGGGGAATGGGTGCGGAGAACTGCGCGGACGGCTGCGGACGGCGTGGGTGCAAGGGGGTGGCTGGAAATGGGTGGGGAGAAGAAGCCGCTGGTGATGGGCGACCTTGGCTGCGCGGACGGCTGCGGACGGGAAATGGGTGCGGAGAACTGCGCGGACGGCTGCGGACGGCGTGGGTGCAACGGAGTGGCTGGAAATGGGTGGGGAGAAGGGAAAGGAAGGGAAAGGAAGGGAAAGGATGGGAAAGGATGGGAAAGGATGGGAAAGGAAGGGACAGGAAGGGAAAGGAAGGGACAGGAAGGGAAAGGAAGGGAAAGGATGGGAAGGGAAGGAAGAGGGAAGGGAAAGGAAGGGAAAGGAAGGGAAAGGAAGGGAAAGGAAGGGAAAGGAAGGGAAAGGAAGGGAAAGGATGGGA